GCGGGCGGCCGGGGTACGCCGATTCACGGTTTTGCTGCTGTCGGCTTCCTTGCGGATGATCTTGGAGGTCGTGTCGATGGCAGTGGGGTGCATGCATAGTTCCCCGCCTACGGGAAGCGATGGCGCTCCGACTCGCGGGAGGGCCCTGCGGGGCCAAGTGCAAAAGCGTTGGAGATTCAGATTCCGCCTCCCGCCCGCAGCTGCGTGCACCTGGACTATACATCGCCCCATCTCTTTTCGTCGGCTGCGTCTTCGGGCTTGAGGACGCGCTGCGCTGGCCAGCAAGGGCGTGCTGTTCGGGCCAACTGGGCACTGCGCTCTCGCGTCTGCGGGTGGGCGGGAGGCTGGTTCCAGTCTGCTGTTTTCGCTGATCGTCCTGTGGCCGTTCTGGGACGGGCTCCACGCGTTCAGTATGTCACGAACGCCTTGCGCTATGAGGCATGTGAGGAGCTTCTCTACGGTTAGACGGGTGATCGCGCTAGAGAGAGGCACAGCATGGCCCGGGAGATCGGCGAAGCGGCGCGCCTCGAGTCCGCGTGGGATTGAGAGCAACTACGCCAGTATCACACGTCCGCCAGGCCTGGTCGCGAGGATCAGCGCCGAGCTCCTGCATGGCCTCGGGCTAGAGAGAACCTCTGGGTCCGCAATCGGCGCCAAGAACCGAGCAGGATGAATTACCGAAAGCGATGTGGACTTTTCGACGCAGCAGGGCGCCCACCACCGTCGGCACAACAAGAGATACGCTAAGCCCAGCATCGAGGTGACGAACTACCCTGGCGGCATGCAGCTGAAGATAGGGTCTCTGAGGCATCCAGTCTTGATGCACGGCGACCACCACATGGTGATTCGTCTGGTGCCCGCTGAAATCGACATCGGCGGCGTGGAAGGAGAGGCTGATCTTGCAGCGGCGGCGGGGGTCCATGACAAGAAACGCCATGCGTTTTGTCGGAGCTCCCTGGGTTTATTTGGTTGGCGTTCGGCGCGGCAGGCCGCCGCAATTTCGAAGAAACTGCAAATGCCGGGGCACCCTGGGTTTCTCGGGCATTGGTCGGTTTCGGGGCGCGCGCCAGAACCTCCAAGAAACTTCCGGGCATTCTGGGTACATCGGGTTTTCTTCGCCCTTCTTTCTAGCTGTTCCGAGTGTGCCGCGCATCCACATGTGGGGGCTGGTCAGTCTGACTTGGGTTCGCTGGCACACTCGGGGAGCATGCCCGATATCCAGAGAACTTGTGCTGCATTCAGGGTGCCCTGGGTGTCGTCGCCCCCCTGGCCGGAGTCAAATGGGCAAAGAGTTTTTTCCCAGAGGAGAAGTCTTCGATTTTCTGTTTGTGCAAGGCCCGAAGCTCGCATTTTCGATCGCCTTGGGTTTCTTGATGTCAAAATGCGTGGCACCAGCAGTCAAGAAACCGCTCGGGCCAGGGTGCCCTGGGTTTCTTCGTTTGCAGCCGAAGTGCAAGAAACCCAACCCTGGACCAAGAAACCTCGGCGGATTTCAGGGTTGGGTTGGGTTTCTTGCGGTGGGTTTCTTGTGGATCGGCCCACACTGTAACAGAGCTGGTGGACTTGATCGATGGTGATGTCACGGTTGAGGTTCTGAGTGGTGAGGCCGACGACGACGAACCACCTTCCCCCGATCATGATAGAGGCAGTCGACAGCCTTCTCTCAGTGGATCTGGTGTTCCTCCTGACACTGATGCGGATCTTGGCCAAGATATCCTCCCCGATCCGGATGCACATCCTCCTGAAGGCCAACACCGAGAGTTACATGACCATCGCCACGGAGGAGCCACTTCCCCGTCCCTCGGAGACATGTCTGGCGATGGCCGCATCCATGATGCTGGTGGTACAGCCCCACCTATAACAGAGGCGGCGGGTATGAATTTAACTGGCGTGGCAAACATACGCACGCACGCACGCACGCACACACACGCATTTCCTCATCAAATCCAACACATAAAGCTGACCGTGCTCAAGATGTTCACGTTCCTGCCTGTGACCTCGCTACGCAAGGCCTACAAATCATACCCACGGTGATGGGCAATTCGCTCCACCCCAATTTCAATCAAACGTTTCTGGTCGACGCCAAGTTCCACAACGCTCGCGTGGCCGACGTCGGCGACGCCCACAACGCCACCGCGTGCGGCGAAGCTCCGAGCCGGGCCTCCTTGGCGAGCCCCGCCGCGCAGGCGGACAAGGACGCGCCCCCCTTTGGAAACACAGGATCCTCCTCCTGTCTTGGTGAGCAGTAGCTTGTAGGCTGTCGGAAGCAACAGCAGACGAACTCCCAGGATCCCGATCCCGATCCTGGTCCCACTCTTCTTCCTCCTCCTCCTCCTCCTCCTCCCCTGCCTCCTCCTCCTCCTCCTGCTCCTCCTCCTCCCCCTCTTCCTCCGCCTCCTCCTCCTCCTCAACCTCTCTCCACCTCGTCCCCCCCCCTCTTCAAGCTTGCTTTTTTAACCCTCTGGGCCACAACGCGCGTTTCGGCCCCGGCGCCCCCCCCCCCCACAACGTAACGCCCCGCCCCCCCAGTCCTTCAGTGCGCCCCCAGCACGGCCGCCGTGCGCTTACGCACCACAGTCTCGCAGCAAGGTGTTGTCGCACCGCTTGTGTTTCCTCGCAGGCTATTGTGGCGCAAATACCGTGGCGCTCGCGCGCTGCTACGGCGCGGTGTTGGTGCTCGCAGGCCTGCCCAGCGCTCGCAGGGTTCTGTGGTTCTCGCAGGCTGCTGTGGCACTCGTCTCGCAGGGTTCTATGGTTCTCGCAGGGTTCTGTGGTTCTCGCAGGGTTCTGTGGTTCTCGCAGGGTTCTGTGGTTCTCTCACGGGCCGTCGTCCCGACAGGGTCCAGCATCTCATTGTGCATGCTCGTGGTGCCCGCAGGTGTTTGCACAATTGTTTCGTTCTCGCTTCCCTCGCCATTCGGTGGCCGCGGGCAATTAGCGGTGATCTATCTCAGGCTTTGAGAAGGAGCAAGAGGAAGAGAAGGACGCCGACGAGGACGAGGAAGGAGGAAGGGAGGTAAGAAGCATACCACTTCTACTCCACGTGGAGGCAGCGACGCCTTCGTAGGCATGGGCATGTGCTCGGCAGACCTCCTCTTCGTCCTCGTCGCCCTCGTCGTTTTTCGTCGCCGGTCGCTCGCCGTCGCTCGTCACTGTCGAACGCCTCTTCGAAGACCTTCGGGGGCCTCCGGAGACCTTCGGAGGACTTTCAGAGGACTTCTGCTCCGGAGAGTTCCGGAGACCTCCAGAGACCTTTGGAGACTTCCGGGCGTCGTCGTCGTCGGCGTCCTCGTCGCTCGTCGTCATCGTCGTCGTTGCCGTCCTCGTTGTCGTCGTCGGCGTCCTCGTCCTCGGCGTCGGCGTCGGTGTCATCGTCCTCGTTTTCGTCGCTCGTCGTCGTCTTCGTCGTCGTCGTCGTTGCTCGCCGCTCGCCGTCGCTCGTCGTCGTCGAACACCTTCGAAGGCCTCCGAGGGCCCGTGGACGACCTCGGAGGACTTCTGGAGGATGTCTGGAAGCTTCTAGATGCCTGCGGAGGGCTCCGGAGACCTCCAGAGACCTTCGCGAGGCCTCCAGGAGTCGCTCGTTGTCGTCGCCGTCGTCGTCGTAGTTGTCGTCGCTCGTCCTCGTCGTCTCGTCCTCGTCGTCGTGGTCGCTCGCCGTCCTCGTCCTCGTCCTCGTCGTCGTCGCCGCCGTCGTCGTCGTCGTCGCCGCCGTCGTCGTCGTTGTCGTCGTCGTCGCCGCCGCCGTCGTGCTCGTAGTCCTCGTCGTCCTCGTCGCTCGTCGTCGCCCTCGTCGCTCGTCGTCGTCGTCGCCGTCGACGTGCGCGTGAACGCTGCGGTGGTACGGGAACCACACCAGTGGGAGGGTTACGTTATGCCCCCCTGCCCCCCTCCCAACTATTCCGCATCGCCGCGAATAAATAAGCGCGCTCCTCGGATATGATTATTTTCAATCCGCGGCCCTAGAAGTCCCGAGAGCACACCACAGAATCCGAAGGCAAGGGAAACCAACAAAAGATGTCGTCGGAGATTTAGGTCCCACCGAAAACAGGGGGCAGAGAGCCTCGACAAGTGGACTCGATTACAGGGCGTGTCGAATTCCTCCAGCTTTTCCCACCACCTGATTCCAACCCCCTTTCCCTCCTCGTCCTCCTTTCCCTCCCACCTCTGCCTCCATGCCCCCCCCCCAACATCCCTCCTCCCCGCTCCCTCCGGGCGGCAAAGGGGGCGTCGGAGGAGGACGAGGAGTAGGAGGAGGAAGAGAGTGGATGGGATGAGGGGGAGGAGGGGGAGGAGGAGGAGGAGGAGGAGGAGGAGGAGGAGGAGGAGGAGGAGGAGTAGGAAGGAGAGGAGGAGGAGGAGGAGGAGGAGGAGGAGGAGGGGAGGAGGAGAGGAGGGGGAGGAGGAGGAGGAGGAGAAGGAGGAGAAGAAGTAAAAGGTGGAGGAGGACGAGGACGAGGAGGAGGAGGAGGAGGAGGTGGAGGAAGGGGACAGGCAGTGGTCCTGGCCTATGGCCCCGCGCTCCTACCTGCTCACCTACCTCCGTTTCTTCCTTCTCCTCCCCCCCCCCCGCATTACCCACCTCGATCCTCACCTCGCCTCGCGCCCGTTCACACCTTGGCGGTCCACATGCTTTTTGTAGGTGTTCTTCCCCTGGCCTCCCCCCCGACAGTTGTTTCGGTCTCCCTGGTCGCGGGCCTCCCGGGCCTTCCCCCCCTGCGCTAATGGGACCGCCCCTCCGGGCTGTCCAGGCGCTCCCTACCCCCCCTCAACGATAAGAGGTGCCCGCGCTGGTCCACCTCGCTCTCTTCCACCGCCATCACATCGTTTTTATTGTCCCCCCCCTCCCACCAAGGCCCTTGCCGAGTGGGACGGGCAGGAAAGGTGTGCCTGGCTGCAGGAGCTCCCTTCGACCGCCATGAGTGAGTGAGGTGGAGGAGGAACCTTCACCTCCGTCTTCCGCCCCCCGCGGTCCCCGCGCGCCACCCGCCCACCCCAAGGCGGCGCCCGGCTGGCCCAACCTGGGCCGCGGCGCCGCCGCCGAGGCGGAGCCCGAGAGGCGCGTCGACGCGGACGGCAAGGCCTCCCCCCCCGCGCGGCGCAGCGAGCGGCAGCGGCGGCGGCCGCCACGGCCACGGCCGCAGCGGCGGTCTGCGGCGAGGGCGGGACGGGGCCGCGTGGAGGGCCCGCGGATCCTGGCGTCGCCACTCCCTCGTGGCGTTTCGCTGGGGGGCTCTGCCAGGGGTAGCGGAAAAAAGGACCACAGAGGAGCGCCACGGGGGGGGGGCGTGGGAGCCCCAGGCCGCCCTGCCAAGCAGCCGTGTCGAAACAGACTTCGTAGCAATCAATTCAGGAATCGTGCTCTTGCCCCAATGCCAGCCATGATGTTGGTTTGGGCGGCCACGGCCCCTTGTAAGTAGTACACTGAAGTGCACATGGCCATGCTCTCACCCTTGTCCTGGCTGCATCTCTTATTTCTCGGGGCTCCCCGGACGTGCTTGTCCTACTCTTCGACCCGCCTCTTCCCCTTTGCTTCTATTAGGGTGTGTTGCCGTGGTGTGACTTTCACACTGGGCGGGCTCGCCCAGTCTGGGGCCCCGGGACTATCACATATCGATCCAGCTCGAAACAAGCACAACAGACACATAGGGTCTGGGGCTCACGGCGGCGGGTGAGAACAGCACGCGCCCGAAGCCGCATGGTGTTCTGATCCGCCGTCGTGAGCTCGCGTCGAGCACCGACTGTCACCCGTGGGTGTCATCGGCCTCGTGGAAAGAGAGTCATAAGGAGGATGACGAACTCGGTCTGGTTTCGTTCTTGCCCGAGGCTCAATTCCGTTCTCACCTGCCATCCAGGGCCCGCGTTTCGCTCTTATTGTCACCCTTCAGTGTCCTCCGCCCCGTGGAAAGAAAGCGGAGGTAGGATGACGGAGGAGGAAAGGCACTGGTGCAAGCACACAGTGTTTCGGGACCCGCTCCTCTGCCTTGTGTGGGCGTCGTTCATATGTCTCTCTCGTCGCTGGGAGCAGGGGGAAGAAGAACAATACTAACAAGATGAAGAAGAAGATGATAAGAAGAGGAGCACGAGGAATAACAATGATAGGTAGAAAACGCAGGCCCGTGTCAGCACACGTGCTGTGATGATGCGTGACTTCTCCCTCCTGCCCTAGCGCCGGCTGCGGCTCCCCTCCCAGGGGTGTGCTCCTGGAAGGGCACGGGGTCGGCTCTCGCGCCAGCGGTGGCCGAGCAGGGCGGCCTCGGGGAGACCGCGAGTCCGATCCGAAGGCCCTCAGCACCTCCCTCGGATGTGTCCCATCCATCGGCCCCACTGGGCGCATCACAATCCGATCGATCCCATTGGACGGCGACTCTGGCCTGCTCGATCCGACCCGATTCTGATCTGCGCAGGGGCTCGGCCCCCTGCCGCCGGCCCCCTCTCTCGGAGAATGGGAGATGCCAAAGCTGAATCCTGAGGTCTGGGCGCCGCCGTGAAGCCGTGTCGGGACTCGTTTGTTTTTCGACCTTGACCCTACGGATCTGCGGGAGGGGTGCCGCCGAATTTCAGGAATGTGGCAAATCCCACGTGTTTTTGCACCCTGACCCTACGGATGTGCGTGAGGGGTGCCAGCAAATTTCAGAAATGTGGCAAATCCCGTGTCCTTTTGCACCCTGACCCCGCCGATCTGCGTGAGGGGTGCCGCCAGATTTCAGAAATGTGGCAAATCCCCGGCGTTTTTCACCCTGACCATCCGCGTGAGGGGCGCCACCGAATTTCAGAAATGTGGCAAATCCCTTTTGTTTGTGGACTTTGACCCTGCCGATCTGCGCGAGGGGTGCCACCGAATTTCAGAAATGTGGCAAATCCCATGTGTTTCTGGACCCTGACCCCGCCGATCTGCGCGAGGGGTGCCACCGAATTTTAGTGGTAAATCACATGTGTTTTTGGACCCCGCCCCCGCTGATCTGCGTGAGGAGTGTCAGTTTTACGCACCCCAGCAATTCAGACAATATAATTTCTCCGTGGTTAAAATGCCCGTTTGGGGCCTCTCCCCCTCGCGCGGTAAGGAACAGTAAGCAGCAAGAAGTCAACAAGGAACATTACGCAGCAAGAAGCAGAGCTGTAACAGTGGAAACTGGAAGCTGCAACTGGCACAGGAAACTGCGAACCTCCGGCCTACAGCCTGGTGGCCCCACAAGGGGGCCGGCGGATTCCAAGGATCCGATGCGGCCCGATGCTTGCACGTAGGTGTTGTGCATCCTGGCGCGGCCGATCCGATCCGATGTCGACTCCGTGCCGATGAAGCCCGATCCGACGCACATTCCGATTCGATCCGATGTCTCGGTGTGGTGCCGATTGGTCCTGGCCCGCTCGGCCCACATCATCCGTTGCCAATCATGGCTTGCTGCAGGCGTACACGTGGGAGGAGCTGCGATCGTACTACGCGTCAGAATTCACCAAGAAGGCTCGCCGTCTGAATATTACCATGTTTCTTATTCGTTGCTGTGAGGTCGAGCCATGCCTTGAAGCACCATGTGCCAGGTGGGCGAGTGGCAGAGGAGTTCGCGAAGCACTGATAGAATATAGCTTCTGTTGAGTGGAGTCGCGTTTTGTATGTCTCGGGGAGTGCATTAGATATTGCGGGGGAGGGATATAGAGAGAGAGAGAGAGAAAGAGAGATACAGAAATAACGTGAGCAAAAGAGAGGGGGAGAGAGTATGAGAAAGATAAAGCGCGAGAGCAAGAGCGAGCACGAGATCAGAGAGAGAGAGAGAGACCGAAATCAAAACATGAGATGGAGACGTATATACATACTACATACATATAGTTATACCTATACAACCACCCTGCGGGTGACAAGGGGGTTCGGGCGGGGGGGGAAACAGCGTCTGACTCAATCGATCTCACTATCGATCCCACTGTCGATCTCATAATCGATCTCACTCGATCGATCTCAGTTTCGATCTTACTCGATCGATGTCACAATCGATCTTACTACCCCACTCACTATCGATCTCACTTTCTCTCCCACAGTCGATCTCCCAATCTATCTCACGATCAATATGACAAACCGTCTCAATGTCAGTCTTGATCGATCTCACCATCGATCTAAGCAAAAAGCCACGATCGCTCTCACGATCGCTCTCACGATTGACCCCTCACCAGACACCGCAGGACACCACGGGACACCGCGCCACGTGACACCGCATGCCACCGCGGGACACCACGGGACACCACGGCGGGACACCCTTCCGGCCACCGCCGGACAACCAGGGGGGGGGACTGTTTTTTTGGCTCGGCGTCGCCCCAGCCAGAGGAGGACTCCTTCCTCTCGCCCGCCCACGCGGCTCCGCCTCGCCCCCACGCACGACGCGAGCACGAGACCGACGTCGATCTCCCCGTGGGGTCTCTCCGCTTCGCCGTGATCGAACCTCCTCCATCTCGCTTGCCTAGAACACGGTGCACTGGTCCGAGCCAGCGGCGGCGCCCGACGCACTGACAGAACCTGCTTCCCGTCGGGACGCCACCAGGACACCATCGGGACGCCATCGGGGCACCACCGGGACCCCAACTGGGACACTACCAGGACACCATCGGGACGCCACCTAGACACCATCGGGACACCACCGCGACACCATCGGGACACCACCTGGACACCATCGGGACACCATCGGGACGCCCTCGCGGCACCATCCGGGCACCACGGGGCACCATCGGAACATCATCTGGACACCACGGGACACCACAGGACACCATCGGGACACCACGGCGGGATTCCCCGGCCACCGCCAGACAATTGGGGGGGGGTTTGTCTTCTAGCCCGGCGTCGCCTTAGCCAGAGGAGGGTTCATTCCTCTCGCCTGCCCACGCGCCCGCCTGCGCAGCTTCGCCTTGCCCGCACGCACGGCACGAGCACGGAACCGAAACCGAGCTTCTGGTAAGGGTTGACCTCCGTTTATTGACCTCGCCCCTACTAGCTTGATACATTCATTTATTTATACACATAAAAAGAAAGAGAGGGAGAGAGAGAGAGAGAGAGAGAACAAAAAAGATAGAGAACGAGAGAGAACGCGAGAGCGAGAGAGAAATAGAGATACAGAGAAGGATGTTTATATATATATATATATATATATATATATATATATATATATATATATTTGTGGTACATACACATGTCTATACGACCACCCTTCGGGTGGTATGGAGGCTCGGGGGGGAGGGATCAACAACTCACTCAATAACGATCGATCTCGCTACCGATCTCACTATCGATCTTGCGATCGATCTCAGTATTGATCTCACTGTCGTCCTCATGATCGATCTCACTATCGCTCCCACGACTGGACACCGACGGGACATTTGCGGGTCACCAGCACGACACCCACGGGACACGTCCGGCCACCGCCAGAACCCGGAGGGGGGGATCCTTTTGCCGGGCGGCGAGAGCGAGAGGGAGCGGGAGGGCGGGCGGGAGAGCGAGAGGACCAGAGAGAGAGAGAGAGCAAGAGCCAGAGCCAGAGCCAGAGAGAGATAGAGAGAGAGCCGGCGACCAAGACCAAGATTGAGATGGAGACATGTAGAACGGCCAGCACAGACTGGTGGATGAGCAAACGCACACATATGAATAAGTCGACAGACGGCCAGCCAGACGGGCAGACAGAGACAGACACAGGGGCCGAGACAGAGACACCAGCAGGGGCAGACACAGGCAGATGCCGAGACAGAAACAGACGTACAGAAACACGGAAATGCGAGCACGGACGCAGAGCAAGGGGCGGACAGTAGCCCTTCTTCTTCCGGAAGTATCCGCTCTCGCCCTGCTTGGCACGCCCCACCGCAGCAATTGCAATTGAGGGAGGGCGCGTCAGGAGCCCACCCCTTTTCAGTCCAAGCTATCGGCGAGCATTGGGCGAGAATGGGCGCCTGAAGCTGAACTGCCGTTCGCGCACACGGAGTGAACACGGCGTCAGGCGTCAGGCGGAGGAGGAGGGGAAGGAGGAGGAAGAGGAGGAGGGCATCCCGCAGACCCAGACCGCTGCCCACGTTCAGGGCTTATTTTTCCGAATGGGGGCTTCTGTCCCAGTCTGCGATGCTCGAGCCCCGGGCGACACCTCATTCTTGTCCGCGGCTGCGGGCGTTTGAGGATCGTGTTGGCAGTCCAACTCTTCGGCTGGAGCTGTTTCCCGGTCCTCTCGAGGCTCTCTCTTTGGGCTCCTAAGCGCCCTCTGCTCCGTCCTGCTCCTCCCCCTCCTTTGCCCCTCCTTACCTCCTCTGGCTCGTTCTTCTCCCCTTTCTTCTCCCGTCTTTTCTTCCCCGTCTCTCCTCACCCTTTCATCCTTCCCTTCCCCCCTCACTCCCCCTTCCTCCATCCCCCCTTCCTCCGCCCCCCTCCTCACCTCACCCATCCTTCCTTCTCTACTCTTTCCCACTCCCCTCCTCTCCCTGCAGTCTGTACGGGCCTTGACGTGCCCCTTCCCCCCCTTCCTCTCCCCATTCCCCCCCTTCCTCCCCTTCCCCCCCTTCCTCTCTCCATCCCCGACATCGGACGATGTGATGAATATCGATCCCCGGTTCCAGATGCCACGACCCCTTTCCACGGCGACAGTCTTCCGCCCCAGAATCATGTTTGCTTGACCCGCGGCCCGAAAGCGGCCCCGCAGGGTCCGAAAGTTAGGAAAAACGCCGCGACGGAGCAGAGAAGCGCATCGTCGCATGTCTGGCATCCCGCCCTCCCCGTCCTGCCCCTCCCCCCGCCGATGCTTCCACGTCCCCCTTCCCCCCATCCCCCTTCCCGCATCCCTCTCCGTTCTGCCCCTCCCTCCGCTGATGATTCCCTGCCCCCCCTCTCCCTCCACGATGATACAATACGAATACTGCTCTCCTCTCTCCCCTGGTGGCGTCCAGGAAATATTCGGCCCCCTCCTCGTATCGTTTTTATAGACAGGATTCCCGGGAATTGGGTTTTCGCTTGGGTTTTTGTTCAAAATGCTGCTCTTGCTGAAGCGCTGGCCTCATTTTCAGGCTACCGCTCATTCCGAATCATGCTCCCGCTGCAGCGCTGGCCTCATGTCCGCGCTTCCGTTCGTCCCGAATCGTGCTCCCGCTGCAGCCTTGGCGTCATTCTTTCCAGCGCCATGCCACAGCATGGTTTTCGTTTCTTCCAAATCTAGAAAAGGAGACCCCGAAAAAAAAACATCAGAAGTGATTACACATTCGGTGTTGATTCGTTGATTTTTGGGGGAAGCGGAAGCCGGCCCGCCCCCCACTTTGGGGCGTCGCCGCGTCATGCTATGTCAGGCTACGCGTCCTCATGTCCGCGTTGTCGCGCTTGTTTTTTTCTGTATTCAAAGTGTTCTTATCGCTGGAGCGCTGGCCTCATTTTCGGCCTACCGCTCGTTCCGAATCGTGCTCCCGCTGCAGCGCTGGCCTCATTTCTGCGCTTCCGCTCGTCCCGAATCGTGCTCCCGCTGCAGCGTTGGCGTCATTATTTCCAGCGCCATGCCACGACATGGTTCTCGGTCCTTCCAAAGAGGCGCCAAAATCTGGAAAATGCCACCCCCCGAACAAAAACACCAGAAGCGACTAGACATTCGGTGTCGATTCGTTGATTTTTTGGGCCGCTGAAGCCCCCCCCCACTGTGGGGCGTCGCCGCGTCATGCTATGTCATGCAACGCGATGACCTTCAACACCACGCTATGCCATGCGCTGCTACGCCCCATGTTGCGACATCCGATTGCGCGAATGGAGAGGAGACCTACGCCACGGCAAGGAATGGGAGGGAGGGGAAGGACGTCAGACATGACGCGAGCGCACCTAGCTTGTCCCCCCTCCCCCCTCCTCCCTCCATGCCTCCTCGCCCCGCCCCTCCTTCCATTCCGTCCTCTCCCCGCGGACCTCGGGGGGAGGGTCCGCGCCCCACAACGGTGAGCCTTTTTGGGCGCGAGCCCCAGAAGGCGCCGACTGGCCCCTGCGACCTGGAGCGAAAGAAGGACGCACACGTACATGAACCCACGTTGGTTTCGAGAGCACGCATTGCGCGCCCTGCCTGCCTGCAATCATCTTGGGTCGCGACGGGTGTGGGGGGGGCGATACCTGGGGGCGGGCAGCGAAGGCGGGCCCCTGAATGGGCCCCTTCGTGCCCAGAAGGGAGCCGCAAGGGCCCGAGGAGTGCACCCCCCCTCCCGCATTGGTCGCCCCCCCCTGGCAGCGACACGCAGTCGTCCCTGCCCTCTGCCGTTCTCCCTCCCCCCCTGCCCCTCCCCCCTCGAGCGAGGCGTCGGAGCACTACTGGGCAGCCCCCGCCCCCGCCCCCTCTGCCGCCGAAGCGCCCCCGCCGCCGCGACGCCGCGGCACGGACGAGCCCCGAGGCAACGCCGAGGGGGAGGAGGGGGAGGGGGAGGGGGAGGAGGAGGAGGAGGAGGAGGAGGAGGAGGAGGAGGGAGGAGGAGGAGGAGGAGGAGGAGGAGGAGGAGGAGGAGGAGGAGGAGGAGGAGGGAGGAGGAGGGGGAGGGGGAGGGGGAGGAGGAGGAGGAGGAGGAGGGGGAAAAGGAGGGGGAGGAGGGGGAGGAGGAGGAGGAGGAGGAGGAGGAGGAGGAGGTGGAGGAGGAGGAGGACGTCGACGACGACAGCGAGGAGGGATGAGGATGAAGAGAGGAGCGAAACCGTGAGGCGAGCAGCTGAAACCCCCATCTGAATGAGGTCTGTGTTTTGGGGGTGGGCGTGGGCGGCTGCGCCGCCGGGAGAGCCAGAAGCGGCCAGGAGCAGCCAAGCAGCCCCCCCTCTCTCTGTAGTATTAATATTACCAGCATTCGTATTATTATTGTTGTTGGCCTGGCCCTCGACCAGGCGCATCCCACTTCGCACGACTCTGCACGCGCGCCTCAGGCTGCAAATACCATCCGGGATGACGTTCACCGTCAGAGCGGGCCGCCTCCTTTCTCCCTCTTTCCGCGGCTGTTTCTTCTCCATTCTCCGCGCGTGCAGGCACAATTCCTTATATTTTCTCCTCCCCCTGTTCCTCCTCGTCCTCCTTCCCCTCCCTCTCCTCCTCCTCGTCGTCCTTTTCCTCGTCGTCGTCGCAGTTTCTGCCCGGCGGCCGGGGGGCGGACAGGCCGCCGCGGGCTCCCCTCGGGCAGGGACAATCGCGTTGCCATCGGAGGCGGCGTGGCACAAGCGCCTCCGCCGCGAGCGCGCCTCTGCTCGCTCCTTGCTGCGCGTGTGGCGGGGGTCGCCTTCGCCCCGCCAGCGCTGCCGCCTGGAGGCCGCTGCGGCGCTGTTGGACAGCAGCCATGGTTCGGCGGCGCCGCTCCCCGCGCACCACGGCATGGCCGCCGTGGGCGGAGGCGCGCGCCAGACCTGCGGGCACTGTGGTTGCCGCGAGAACGAGGCGTGGTGGAATTGGTGCGGCCACTTCAAGAGGCCGCTGGTCCTGGGCCATCCTGGCGGCGCTGGCGCTGGCGGCGCTGGGGTGGCGCTCGGCCGCGGCCGCGCGGCCCGCGTGCTGCCCTGGCGCACCGCTGCAGTCGGCCCCGACGGCGCCGACGCCGCCCAGCAGCTTGCGCCCAGAGGCCGCCCCTCCCCATGTGCGGTTGCTGCTGGCTGGGGCTGCGGCATGCGGCACTTACGGCGCGGGAGGGCGCCCACGCAGCAGCACTCTGGGCGTCCGCATCGCTGGCGAGGCGTAGGTCATGGAGGCTGACGAGGTTGCCAAGCTGGCCCAGCTGGTGGGGCTCCTCCGCCTGCCAATCGATGGGCTGGGCGAGGCAAATTACCAGCGGCAGCTGGACGAGCACAGGGCCCAGCGCTTGGCCAAGCCGCTGTCCGTCGCCGAGGCTGGCGCTGCGCGGGACACAGCTGCTGCAGCCCTCGACGCAGCCCTGGCGGTCGCTGACGGGCTATAGCAGCGCTTCGCCCAGGCTACGGAGCACGTCGCCAAGTGCACCGCGGCCCTCGACGGCGCCACCGCGGCCAGCACCTGCGCGGCGCCCACCGCGGTGGCGCCTGCCATCGAGGCCGCGGCCCCACCCTCAGAATTTCGGCGGTCCTGGAGGCGGCGCGGGCGCTGGGCGACGAGGGCCCGTTCGGCTTGGAGGCCCTCGACGACTGCGTCGTCGAGGAGAGGCCACCAGGAGGCGCAGCGGCGACGCGAGGAGCTCCAGGCCAGGTTCGCCACCATGGCAACGGAGACGCTCGGCCAGTTCCAGTCGGAGGCGCAGGCGCTGGAGAAAGCACACCTCGAGCAACGGGAGCGCCTCGAGTCGCAGAAGGCGCGCGCGGAGGAGAGCGAGCTCCCGCCCGCCAGGGACGCCGAGGAGAGGGACAGCCTGTGGCCCCCCCTGGCAGCGGGGGCGCTGCTGAGCCCGCAGGCGCCGTTGCCGCTGCGGCTTCAAAGGTGGCCCCTGCCCCTCCTGCAGGCGCCGCCCCCGCCGCTGGCCCGCAGGCGCCCCCCGTGGCGCCCGCGGCCGCCGCTGCGCGCCAGGGCGACGCCGCCGCCGCTGGCGCGCGCGACGGGGCAGGGGCCCCTGGCGCGGCGGCTGTCGCGCGAGGTTGACGTCTTGGAGGCTGGCCGCCAGCGCCTGGCCGCCGCCGCCGCCGGCGAGGGCGCTGCTGCCGGCGAGGGCCGCGCCGCGCAGGGCGGGGGCGGCGCCGGCCTGGCCGCCGGCGCCGCCCCAGCGGGCGCGGGCGCTGACGAGTCGAGCCTTTGACCGCGGCTCGGACCCCGGCAGTTTAGACGGCTACGACTGTTTGGGCAAGTCTGGCTCTCTCCAGTCTGTGGTTCGAGAGGTCTCCTTCGCGGCCCAGGCCGACGCCCCGTCGCCCGCGCCCGCTGCACAGCGGCGCAAGCGCACGCGACGGGGTCGCCTCCGCGGCATAGGCGCTGCAGGTCACGGCATCAAGTGGGTCGCGGGCTCGACGCGCTCAGTGGGCGAGTAAGAGTTCAAGGATGCGGGCCCTGATGGGCGCGCTGCGCTCGAGACGATTGAGAGAGTCTCGCGAACGCGACAGCATTAGACAGGTCGCCGGATCGCGAGGCCCCCGCGCAGGACGAGGAGCTCGACGGCCGCCACTGGCGCCAGCACTGCGCGCCGCGCGTCGCGCGCCCCCTCGAGCACCCGCGCTTCAACGCGCCGGTCGGGGGGCGGGCCCGGCGCGACGGGCGCGCCGACGCTGGCGCGGCGCGCGTAAACCTCGCCATCGACATCTGCGCGGCCGCCTTCCGCCGTCGGCGCGCAGCGCGCGGGGGGCACCTTCGACGGCTGCAGCTCATGCGCGCGGACGACCCCGAGGCGCGGACCCACGAGCTCCTCGATCACATTTTGGCGCTGCAGCGGGAAGCCGATGCCTTTGACAACGGCCGCGGCATCGCGCGGGCCTCTCAGGGCGACGCCACCCCCCTCGACGTGGAGCCGCCCTCGCCCTTCCTTTCGCCTGCCCACTTGCGGCCCTCAGGATCGGAGGCGGCCGACGGCCTGGCCCGCGCCGGCGGGGCTTTGCCCCCCCGCGGCGCCGCCTCCGGGGTCGGCGACGGGAGTGGCCAACGAAGTGGGCGCGGGCCGTGGACTTCATCTTCAGGTTCGTCGCGGGGCTGGTCGGCGGCGTCGGCCCGATTTCGGGCGCCGCCTGGATTCGCCGCGCCCCATCGCGCTCCCCTTCGGCCAGCGGCTCGCGACGCTCATGGCGCTTCATGCTGGGGCGGAGCTGGCGGCGCGGCTGGCGGGCGGCCCTGCGGCGCGCGGGCCCCCCGCCAGGACGGCGCGTCTTCGCCGAGCTGCGCCGGCGCATGGCCTCGAGAGGCGCGCGCTGGGGAGCGGCCCTGCGGCTCGCGGGCCCCCCGCACTGTTCGCCGAGCGGCGGCGCCGCGCCTGCGCGCGGCGGCCGAGCCGAGGGTCGATCCGCGAGGGGCGGGGGCCATAGCGGGCGCTCCGAAAGGAGCTCGCGAAGCCCCCGCCCCGAGGCAGCTTTCGCCGAGGCGAAACCGCCTGCGTCGCACGAGGGGCTTGCCGCGCCACCTCGCGATCCTTCTCCGGCCAGAGGCTCGCGATGCCCATGGCGCTGCATGCCCCCCGGCCGCGCCGCCAGAAAGGCACGCCCGCGCCGAGTTGCGCCAGCGCGCGGCCTCGAGAGGTGCTCGCCGGCGAACGGCCCCGCGGCTCGCGGGCCCACCGCGCCGCCGCGCCCGGGGCAGGCCGCGGCTCCGGGGCCGCCCCGCCGCCCCACGATCACGAAACTTTCATTTGCGATAGCGAGACCCCCGGGCCTCGCCGGGCGCCCCTGGGCCGCTCGCCGAGCAGGAGGGGGGCGCCCTGGGCCGCCCCGCGATCGCAAAACCATTCGTCGCGATCGCGAGCCCCTCGGGGCCCCCATGGGCCCGCCAGGGCCGCCCCGGGCCGCCCCTCGGGCGCGCTCTGCGCGCGGCGGAGGAGCCGAGGGTCGATCCGCGAGGGGCGAGGGCCGCAGCTGGCGTCCCGAATGAAACTCGCGAGGCTCCCGCCCCAAAGCGGCCCTCGTCGAGGCGAGGTCGCCCGCGTCGGGCGATGGACTTGCCGCGCCACTTCGCGCCCCTCTTCAGCCAGAGGCTTGCGATGCTCATGGCGCTGCATGCCGCGGCGGAGCTGGCGGCGCGGCCGGGGAGCGGCCCCGCGGCGCGCGGGCCCCCCGCCGCGGCGAGGCACCATCTCCGAGCTGCTCCAGCGCTGGGTCGTGGAAGGCACCTGGCGGGGATGGGGCCCCGCGGCTCGCGGGGCCCCCGCCTCGCCCCCCACGAGGGCTGGGCCAAGCGCCGCCCAGCGCGCCGGCGAGCGGCGCACCTCGACGTCCTGACGGTCAACGTCACCAGCTGGAGCTCCTGCTTCACTCAGCTGGAGGACGGCCACGTGGGCGACTCGGCGCAGGCCATTCTGATCCAGGCGCACCACCTCGCGGAGGATCGGCAGCTTGCGGCTGCCGCGCGCGGAGCTCGCCGTGCAGGCTGGGCTGCAGACCTGATCCCTGCGGCGGCCACGGGGCGCGGAGGCACTTCCGCTGGCGTCGGCATCCTGGTCCGCCCCTGGGTCCACCTCCAGCGCGTCGAGTTTGCTGGCGAACGCATCTCGGTGCGCTGCTCCGCGCGCCTGGGCTTCTGGATGACATCCCTGGGCTTCAAGAAGGGCGTGCTGCTGGTCTCGGCCTACGTGCATGCGAGCCGGGACCTCGGCGACCGCAACCTCGACCTGCTGATGCATTTGGGCTTGGTGATCAGGGCAATGCAACAGCCCTTCGTCGCGGGCGCCGACTGGAACATGGCCCCCGCTGCGCTGGAAGAGGCGCAGCTGCTGCCCTCCATCGGCGCAAGGCTCGCCTGCTCTGGCCAGGCCACCTGCGCGACGCC